GGGGCGCTGCCGGATGGTCCCGCAGCGCCGTTCTGGGTGCTACTGGACCAACCCAGCAGCACCCCAGCTGCTCTGCCCCAGGCGTCCCCAAGTCAGCCACTGCTGAAACTGACCAGCGCTGACTACAAGAAGCCCGAGGCAGAGTTGCTCTGCCCCGGGCTTCCTGCAGTCAGCAGCTGATCAGTTTCAACAGGCTGAATCTGGACGCCAGTTCTGACTTACATACAGATTCAATTTAAGAACAAACCTACAGTCCCTATCTTGTACGTAACCCAGGGACTGCCTGTAATTCTGAACAGAGTCTGTTCATGCAGCAGATTTGATAATTGCCGAAGCTAGTTATGGATACGTGAAGGTTGTGTTGATGTGATGTGGCAGCTAATATCAGTATCTTCGTTATAATCAAATAAAATTGACCTTATACAGTGTAATCTGTCCTGCTAATGAACTTTCAGTTCAGTGTGATAAGCAAGATAAATATAGTAGTTGGTATGTGATTTGTAATAGCTAATCATATTTAATTATCCTTTATGGTCTGTAATTTTGTAGATCAGAAATCCATTACCTTTTTTTCGAAGGTTCATTTTTGTGATATGACTATAAATTATTAATATCTTTTGTATTAGTTTCTGTTTAATAATTGTGAAGAGTTGAATTTGGCTTTTCAGGAATACAGGAGAGAATGGAGAAGTGTTCTCAAAATAAATAATTATGGAATCTCAAATAGAACATATAGGGGTCTTGTGTTTTGTTGTAGGATATTTACTGGATCCTAATGGAGAGAAGTGTGTAACTGCTCCTCGCCAAGTCTCTGCTTTGCATCATAAGGACATAACTGTGTCCTTAGTCGCGGCAAGTGATGGCGCTACAGTATGTGTTACTGAAAGAGGGGACATTTACTTGCTCACAGACTATCAATGCAAGAAGATTGCTTCAAGGTATGTATTTTTTTCTTCTACAGGGAAGTACAATACTGACTTAGTTTCATTGTGTTTTTCCTTTTTCAAACTAGAGAAGAGAAAAGATTTGGAGGGGGGAATATGTTTATGTTCAGGAGGTTTTTAACATTTTAAATTTCTTCTCCTTGGACTTCTTGAATTTGGATGTAATAGTTTATTCAGTGAAGGCATTGAAGCCTGGCCTTGTTTCTTTAATATATAGTTTTGTATTTGACTGTGAGTAAAATAGCTGTATGCCAATAGCTGAGTTAAAATACAGCTGTTACTCTGCATCTTCTAAAAGCCTTTTATATATAATTGGGTACTTTCAATGACTGAATATTTAAACAATACATCTGAAGGTTTTGGATGTAGAAAGATCAGTTGTATTCTATCTAAATGTCTTACTCTTAATTTTCTCTTCTAGCAGCTATCATTTCAGAATCTCCAGTCTTCTCAATTTGGTAATGATGGAGAAAATTCCATACTTATATGAAAACTCTTTAAATGCCTTCTTATTTAGGGCAGGGAGAAGAAAATTAGGCTCAAAATTTGACAGAGCTTATTTACTTTAAATCAGAGTGACTTTAGTCACTGTTGGTCTGTTAGTTTCCTAAAGAATGGTTAATTACCACTGTTTGGTATAATCCTTAAAGTAGATTTGAAACCAAATGTAGCCTTTAAATTATAAATTGGAAATTTGTGCTAACCAGGTTGTCTTCACTATATACATATTTATTTAAGCAATTGTATATCTTGACAATTTGTATAAATGTTAACTTTACACGTTTTTATGTTAAGAAAATATCTAGTAACAAATACATTTAACTTGGATTTGTGTCAAGCTGAATTTAGATGATCAGAATTCAAATAACATGCACAAAAGCAATATTTCAAGAGGTTTATCTGATTGCTAATGTGTCAAGTACATAAGTTTATAAAAACATGTTGCATTTAAAACTGATTTATTAAAAAATTAGGTATTCACTGTAGTTACTGAATTGATGGATTTTTTTTTTTCTCATCACTATGGGCCTGATTTGTAAAATGTACCTAAATCAATGATATAAAAGTATGTGCCCAGCCTGCTTGTATAACAATTGGGATTTTCAACAGTACCGAAGAACCTCCAGAGACAAAGGCCTTGTCTCCCCTCCTACATAGGTTGATTTTTTTTTTCTCAGCACTGGATTTTGTAAAGTCAAAGGTGCATGTCCCACCGTGTGCAGGAGTTCGAACTGGTGCGTCCCCAGTAGGGTGGCTACTATCGACTTTGACAGTGATTCACTGTGGATAGTGTGACAGGATCAGGCAGATGGCTATTGAAGAGTACTCAAAGGGATATATGTTAGCCCTAGATTAGAGGTGTCTCTCTTTTCCCTGGGTAAACTAGTGTGGGCTGGTCTAGAATCAGCAGCAACTTTCCAGAAGCAGTCTGGACAGTCTGGCTAGTTAGAACACCTGGTGCTAATTAGGAGACTTTCAGAGCCAAGGGAGTTAGGCTAATCAGATTGCCTGGGGCTAATCAAGAACCAGTTGAAACCCACTGTGACAGTTGACAAGAGCTCGATGGAAGCTTGCAATGCCAGCTAGCTGCTGGTTAGTTGGGAGTTAATTTGGAGTGGATAAATTTACAGTTGGAGCTGCTGTGATTTAAGTAGCCAAGACAATTAGTACTCCTCTGTGACGTAGTGGGGGTACTTGCTGGGCTGTGGTGACCCCTGCTGTCTGGAGCAAGACCCAGCAGGGAAAACCTCACTAGGCAGAGGTAATGCCAAACTTGTTGAACCAGTGGCCAGACACCCCCCATGGAGAGGAACAAAGGAAGGTGGATGCTGCCCTGGCTGGGGGGCAGGGCTGGAAGGGAATTTGGTTAGTTACTGTCTGGGAGCATGGAGGAGAGCCTAGGGGAAGGGGCTGGAGTTTAGGGGCCCAGTCTCCCCCATCTCAAGGGGGCCTGAGGCAGCCTAGCCCAGCTCTGTGACCAGATTACATCTGTGCTGTGCTGTGCTGTATCCTGGAGAGGCAATAAACTTCCTCTATTCCACCGGCTGGTGCAGTCTGTTTGTGCCATTTCGGGGTGCAGGAGACGGGGGACCCCCAACGCGCCGTCACATCCTCTATGAAGGATAGTCGCTCTGAGAAATATGCAGGACATAGTGGAAGACTTTGCTGCAATGTGATTCCCTAACTCTGGTGGGGTGATAGATGAACACACTTCCCTATCATAACCCACTTATAACGTGAACTCACCAGAAGTGCCCTTCCCACCATCAGGATCTGTCAGGGATATGTCCTAGGAGGAGGGCATTGTCTCCAAAGTTATGAAGAAGTTCTGGTTGTCAGTGAGCTCTAATGCTTCACTCAACCATTCTTCTCCTCCTCCTTCACAATGTCTTCCCTCCTGCTGCCTGAAGAGTCTCTTGGGAGGAATTCACAGAGTGGGTTGGGACACAGATGGGGTCTCGCCCCCCCTCCCCCGCAGAATCCCATGCAGCTGCTCATAGAAGTGTCACGTTTGCGGCAATTATTCAAAACATCGGTTTGCCTCCTTTGTCTTCTGGTACGCCTGCCTGAGCTCCTTCACTTTCACGCAGCACTGCTAGGCATCCCTGCATATCCTTTTCCCGCCAAGCCACGTGTCTTGGCATAGATATTGTTTCTTTTGCTGTGTCGTAATTCTGCATGCAGATTCATTGTATAGAAAACTTCCCTAATGCAGTTAAGTTCATCTTAAATGCCTAATGTAGGTCAGATCAAAGAGAGCTAGGAGTCTGACTGGCTTAGGTGCATTTGAAAATCCTGTATCTTAAGGTCCCTGAAAACCTCTGAAAATCTGTATGGTATTGTTCAGGTTTTTAGAATTAATGAATCTTATCCTCCATCGCATGGTTTTTATAATAATGGAAGAACAAAACAAGCTCTTCTGTTTTTTAAACTCTCAATTGATTTTTCAACTTTAAACTATTTAAACTATTCCAGATGAAGTAAATATGATCTCTGTATCTGCTAGTTGAACTGAATCCAAAAGTAATTAAGGAAAAACCTTTTCTGCCAACAAACTGAGACACATTTGAAGAAATAAATATTAGCATTTATAATTGTGTAAAAACTTAAATACAGATCTTTCATGCAATATGTTATACTGTGATTCACACACAAAGTTATCCTCAAAAGAGAAGTATGTTTTCCCTAATTTTGTAATGCAACTTATTTAAAACTTGAGGAGGGCATATTGATGCAGAGCATTTATTTATTTATTTATGTTTATTTTAATAACTGACATAATTTCAAATTTCATTTTTAAGAGGTTCATTTTTTAGAAGGGCATTTTATGTTTCAAAAAAAAAAATCTGACTTGTTTTAAGTCAGTTTTTATCTATCCAGAAACTTGCTGAATTCTGTAAAGAGGAAATACGTATTGAATATCATAATATCCTACCACGATATCACAACTGTGGACAATAAGATCATCGTGGAGAGACTAAATGATTTCTTTGCATTGGTCTTCACGGCTCATGACGAGGGAGATTTCCAAACCTCAGCTGTTCATTCTAGGTGACAAATCTGCGGAACTGTCCTAGATGGACAGTTTAGAGGAGATTAGGTTAGAGGAGGTTTTGAACAAATTGGTAAACTAAACAGTAATAAGTCACCAGGGCTAAATGGCATTCACCCAAGAGTTCTGAAGGAACTCAAATGTGAAATTGCAGAACTACTAGCTATGGCTTGTAATCTGTCGTTTAAACCAACTTTTTGTACCAAATTACTAGAAGATAGTTTACGTGATGTCAATTTTTAAAAAAGACTTGAGGGGTGATCCCAGCCTGTAATTGTTGGGTAAGTCTAACTTCAGTACTGGGCAAATTGGTTGAAATTATAGTAAAGAACAGAATTGTGAGACACATAGATGAACATACTTTATTAGGAAAAATCATCATGGTTTCTGTAAGGGGAAATAAGGTCTCATCAAACTATTAGATTTCTTAGAGGGGGTCAACAAGCATGTGGACAAGGGGGATGTAATGTACTTAGATTTCCAGAAAGCATTTTACAAAGTCCTCGTATCACAGTGTGCCACACCATCATGTCACTTCCTGCTGGTCATGCATGGAATCAGCTCTAGGACCGAATTGAGCTAATTCTTCTGGCTGGTGTCTCACTTTACCTATTTTGGTTTTGCCCTCTTATATTAGGGCCCATGTCCCTTCCATACTGTTGCGCTCTCTCTTCTGGGAACTGCCCTGCTGCAATGCCCCCACTCTCAGGGTCCTCCCACTCAGGCAACCCCCTATACCCACCTTGCCTCAGTGATCCTACTGCCAGTCAACATCTAGCCCCTTACCTCAGGGGCAAACTGCAGTCTGAAATGGCCACTTATCATAGTCAAGGGGTTGTAGACCTTCTGCCTTCTCCTGCACTGACTGCCTCCCTGTAACTCTCTGGTCTCCTCAGGCCTTATCTGACGCTCTGCAACCTGGGAGTTTGCCTGGCCAGAGCTCCCCAGCTCTGCCTTCCTTTTCCTCTATCTTAGGAAGCCTCTAGTTTACCTGGCAGCCAGGTCCTTCCTGCTCCACAGCTGGAGCAAGAGTGAGTGAGCCTTTACTCTCCTCCAGGAGCCCTCATTCATACAGTCTTCAGCTGGGCCCTAACTGGGGGATACATGCCACAGCTGCTTGCTCTCTCTTAGGCCACTTAAAGCAGACACCCCATCACAGACCCTCACCAAAGGCTCTTAAGCAAAGTAAGTTGTCATAGGATGAGAGGGAAGGTCCTTTCATGGATTGATAACTGCCTAAAAGAACAAAAGGTAGGAATAAATAGAGGTAACTAGTGGTGTCCTGCAGTTGTCTGTACTAGAACCTATCCTACTCAATATATTCATGAATGATCTGGAGAAAGGTGAAGTGGCAACATTTTGCAGATGATACAAAATTGCTCAAGATAGTTAAGACCAAAGTAATCTGTGAAGTGCTTCAAGAGGATCTGACAAAACTAGA